TAATAACAGAAGTCCCAACGGGAGTCCCAGCTGGCTCACAGGCATACAAGTCTGTGCATTCATTTGATGTATGCATAATGCGAAGCTCATAGCATAGTTTGCAGCCTCACACATGCATCTTCCAAGAGTGCGTCTAAGTTTGCTGTACGTGATTCTTATTGAAAGTAATCATCCTTCGTGCAGAATTGATTGGGTAAGCGCACGGAACTCCCCCTGGGCCTGATTGTTTTTAATACCTCCTGGTATACAGTCTTCACGCCCTACGTGGGCCGAAGTCTCACAAACGGTGGTCCTTTCAACGGGTCAGCCAGTCTGGGGCCGAAACCCGAATTGCTATGTGGCAGAACCCCAGTCTCAAATATCACTTCGAAAATAATCTCTTTGATATTCATGCCTACCAAGTTGACAGAGAGTGAGCGGCTTTCGCGTGACCCGACGTGACACTCTGCCATGGATCGCTGACACAATCTTTCGGGAACAGTTATCTCATCCTTCCGCGCGGATTCTTCTCGGTTATCTGGAAGAGCATCCAGGAGCGCAAATTGCGCCCGGAGATTTACGACTCTGACAGTTTTGCGATAGGTTCATCATTCTGTTCTGGCGCCCATTGTTTGGCAAGTAGCTGAGTATTTCCTTGACCATGTCCAGTATTCAAAGCAGCTGTTGCCACTTGGGGAAGTGACAAAATCGGGGCGGATGTGAGTCGCGATTCACTTACAGCTCTTCTCACAAGGGATGGATTTGACACTAATTCCCCAGGATATAGGCATTCTCTGTGGCTGGATGCTTGGACGTGCCAGGCCTCCTGCGGTAGAAGGACAAAAAGCAGTCAACTTCACGTTAGAGGACGACTATGAGAAAATTGTGTTTTTCGAGTGAGTGCCCGGCCTATACCTTGTTTTCAGATCAATAATAACCCAGACTTGGTGTCAAACAAGGCCCGAGACAGGCGAATTCATGGTTTGTTTCTTGATCGCTGTTGCGTTTGTTGTCGCCTAATAGATGGTTCACCTGTTCAGGAAGACATGGGCTATGACCCAGTTTTGGCACTTTTTTGAGTTATGTCATACGCTGGTGGAACCCCGGAGCGTATTGCAGAACCATGCCGCGTCGATAGGTCAGTTCGCATGTGGATAACCTTCGATGAGCTGCTTTACCAACCCACAGCCGGCTTCTGGCTACTATGGCCCGTAGATGCCCTTGAAGAAATGGATACAATATGTATATATATATATTCAAATTCGTACAGACTACTTTCATCCCATGTATCAGAATTATGAGTCATATGTTGCGTACACGATGAGAACACGGATATCGTTTCAAGACGGTACACCTACATTTGAGCGCAGGAATGGATCCCACGCTCCTCACATTCATCTCTTTTGCTATGCTAAATCATATACTGAAGATGCGGGTATGTTAATATTGCTATCGGCTGCCGCTGTTTCCTCAGCGGCGCGGTCAGTTTACTTTTCCACATTCTTGTCCCAGTCCCAGCGCTCATCTCTCACCCATATGGTAATCGTGGTCTTGATGCTTATTCTTCATTCCGAGCAATCACCTTGTCAATGAAATGCATTTGCTAGTGACGTGTCACCTTGCAGACCGATTGCACACTGAGGTATTCTTTAATTCCTGGATTGCAACTCCTTTGCGTTCTTCTTGATAGGCCAGTGTACTGGGGAGTCCTGCAAAGGGAAACCCAAGCCCAAACCTCTATATAGCGGGAGGTTGCGGCTCCGAGTCTATCTATCGAGGACTGACTACAACTTGAACACATCCAGCCGGGACTCCTGTCACTTCACCAGTACTCTTGGCACTCCCGATGACCTGCGTCAGGACCTGGTACACCACTCTGAACGACGACATCCGCACTTCCTCACTGCACTCAGCCACAACGTCATTGCCTTCGTGGTGTTGGTATGCTTCAATGCTTGTTGTTCATCATAGATTTCGACCAGGACCAGAGACATTCTTATTCCCGTCGTCGAGTCCACCTGGCCAACTGGTCTGTTAATACTAACACCGCCAAAATTCTTCTGTAGTACTTAGACTGGGCCTCTGCGTTCTTTGTAATCTTGTCCGAGGAGGCTCAACTGAGAAAAACTCCGGAACTGACTTAATCAACGGATCGGTGATAGGAACTTTCCAAAGACATAAGGTCCCCGCAATCATCGTATCTCAGGTGATAGGAACATTCCAAAGATATACAGGGCGCAACCACGTATGTATTTGACTGAGTCATGATTGATTCAAGCTACTCCGAGTCAGCGCTCCTAGAGTGTGCCACATTCGGCTCTTCCACTGATTAGTTATGCTGGATGATCACCTTATTCTTGAGGGCTATATAACCCTGAAAGATGACACCCGCACATCCCCACTGCGCCTCATTTACAGCATGCCGCCTTTCATTCCTGGTGTTTGTATGCTCATTGACCTATATGACCTTTATCCCTATTAATTGTCATCGCCGTGCAGATCTTTTTCAGATACATGTGCTTTTTTGGGGTGCAAAGCGATCCATACTATACCGCGACTTTGTTCTCGCCGGTAAGCGTGTCCCTTTACCCGACACTTGGCTGGCTTGTTCACATGGCTGTGGGCTTCTCGAAAGAGGATTACAATAGTGAGCACCTTCATTTCAGACTCGGACAGCCGTCAAAGCTGCTTCTAATGATCCTCTTTCTCTATGGTGTAGGTAATATCACAGTATATGAATACAATATGGACACGTGGAATGACACAATTGGACCGTGGTGTGTTCACCCGCCTTTGGCTCGTCGAGGCAGCTGGCGAGCCGATCGATACGTATACCATCCGAAACCTTGCGAGTGGAAAGTATATGACCCCATTCAATGGAAGTAAACATTGTCACTGTTGACCGAAAGCCGAACGCAACTGAACACTGGACAATAGCCTGGGATGGCTACTATCGATGCACGTCAGTATATTCGTTCGGTGTTCGCATAATATGGGGCTCATGTCATGGCCTGCAGTATCAAGGATCCGAATTCTAGTGGTGTGTCCAACTCAACGATTTTGTCATGTGATTCTTATGAAAAATACCCTTCACATAGCGTTGGTCGGGATTCGGGACGAGTAAGCTAATGAATCCTGCTGTAGTGGCTGCTGATTGTTTTGAATACTGCCAGTTCTGCGTCGATCATACTGGGGACCTCGGTCCAGACAGAATTCCGCACAGAGTGGTCCATTAAACGAGTCAGTCGCTCTGGGGCAGAAATCCGGACTGCTATATGGCAGAAACTGTATAGCTACCGAGACTTCTATACTCATACCTATCAAGTTGAAGGAGAGTAAGCATCACTTTTCACCACCAAACCTGTTACGCTATCAGCAATCGCTGACAATCGAAAATGGCAGGTATCTCATCTTTCCGCGCGGATTCTTCACTCAGATTTGGAAAGACATGCCGAAGCGCCCTTATCGCCAGGGCATCTACGACTCTGACCATTCTGCCACAGGTTCATCATTTTGTTCCAATGCCGGTTAAACCATCGGGTAGCTGACGATGTGCTTTGGCCGTGTCCAGCATTCAAAGTGGCTGTCGCTACAACGGGCAGTGATTATATCAAAGCAGATGCGAAGCGATCCATCTTTTCTCGCAGAAGATTGATTTGACTTTGATTCTCTAGGGTATAAGTATTCTGTGTGGCTTGATGCTCGGACGTCCCACGCCTCCTGCAGTAGAAGGTCAAAAAGCGTTCAACTTCACTCTGGATGATCACTGTGACATGGTCCTGTTTTTTCAGTGAGTCATCTACACCTGCCCTGAGACCAATGATAACCAAACCTCGGCGTCCAAACCAGCTCTGACACAGGCGAATTCAAGGTTCGTTCTTTGATCATTGTTCCATTTGCTATTAGCTACGGAAGGGTCACCTGCTCAGGACCAAATGGGCTACGATCCGTACATGGGATATTTTTGAGTTCCGTCGTATAATCTGGGGAAAGTTCTGAAGCATGCGGGCGGATTCATAACAACGAACTTATCTCAGTAGTGTTCTAATTTCTTGGTAGCGTTGAATTTGTTTCATTCTTTTTACCAGTTTCGCTCGTCGCCGAAAAAATTGCACGTGAGTAGATTCCGGTGGATTCTCACAACTTGCTACGTTTTTTCCGCGAGCGACTTCGCCGTTATTTCGAAATGGGATGTATCGTACACATCCAGAATGACTCATGATTTTTTTTTAGCTTTGCGCTTTCATTTGATCTCTGCTCGAATTGCCTTTCGTGAGAATCCAAATACTGCGGCACGTGCGTTCCATGTCTTTTATATTTGCAATCCATCCGACCTACCGGGCAGCAGTTAGTATAACTAGTCCACAGCCTTTGACCGTCTTTGCACGACCGATTCATAGTTGAGTTTTGTTTTTGTTCGGGTGAAGACCCGCGGTCCGCTGAAAGACGCCTACCCTTTAATGAGCATCCAGGGACATCAGTGGCGCATAGACTTTGATGCAGTTTCAGTTATCATGTCGAGTATTTACAGCCGAGTGCTGCGATTAAGTGAGCTTTTACCATCATTCCAAAAGGGTCGTCCGGGCGAAGAATGTGCTACTATTGATCTTATAAGTTCTAGGTTTTACTTCTATATGGAGAATTCGTCTAGTCTCCTGTATGCAGGCGAGAAGACAGTCATTCCTTCTATCATCGTCGATCGACGACTTGCTTCTATTGGGAGACTAACTCATATGAGTATCGATCTCTCTTTCCGGATCCTCAAGAGTTGCATTCTTTCATACCCCTGCAGAAGTTTAACAAGGTCTACATATTAAGCGAGTGACGATCCGCTCTAGGCAGCCGCCGCAGTACTGTTACACAGCCTCTGCCCCGAATCATGACCTGGCATTGTGAACGGCGTCATTAATTGCGCAAATTCGCCTCAAGAGTGACGCACGGGCGTAGTACGGCTTGGCAATCCCATCCGCATCACTCAGGAGATTACCGAGATCGCAGCACGCCAAGTGGGTCGTGAGAGGACGAGACGAATGCAGTAGATATTTCACTGCACGCGCTATGATCAAATCCAACGTGCTACCATCAAGTATCAACGCGCTCACGGTTCACCAAACTAAGATTTTGCTTGACACGGAGGATATGACTGAACGTGCCAAATTTAATACTGGTGCTGTGAGAATGGTAAGATGGGTGTGAGTCTGCAAGGGGTGAGTCGTGCAAATAGTGGATGTCGTGGTTACCACTTGAAGCGAAAAGAGAGAAGGATAAGGTTGAGGGACAACGTGGGTGAGACACAATAGGACGTGACAAAGGGAATATTAAATTAGTTTTCTCTATGACGGCATTAGACGGAGCAATTCACGTTGTGTGTGAAATTAAAGTTGAGTTACTTATTTACATAATCAAAAGGGGTTTACGTTATTTGATCGGGGGGATACGCAGTAATCTAGTTTTTTTGGTCTGTAACGCCTCTCTTCCTCT